TTTGCGCACGCTGTAGAGCTGACGATTTGATATAGACAACAAGAGAAGCTAGAGACAGACTGTACGAGTTGTACAGCGCCGTAGTTGGTGAGATGAGTTTAGTCTGTTAGTAATAGGGTGATAGGGTGATGGCTCCTGAGGTGCCTGCACTACATAATACAAGAGTTTGACACAAGCTTAGTAGTGTTGACCAGAATAGATTTTACATTTGAGAACACAGTTGGTTTCTGGGTCACGTACTGGCTACGTTGTTATTGCATGGACTAGCTATCCTAGGCTCAAAGACAATCCAGACGTTCATGGTTGTGCACGCCACAGCCAACCCAAGTCTCCATGTAAGTAACCCATCTGAGAAACACGATACTAACCAAAACCCTTTGCCTCCCCCACCTCTCATGTGCTTTTCTAATACTCTTGCTGACACAAGAGATGCAACAACCCACGTCAAGCGCCATGTTGATGCCAATTCTTTGCCCAAGCTACATATTCGTCGACAGAAAATGAAACTCCCTCTGCAAGAATCTCTGTTGACTCTCTGAAATAGTCCTCATTAAACGACTCAAAGCTCGGGAAGAGACGGAGGTTATCGGGTGTTTCAATGAAGCTCCATCCGATCAGAATGTCGCTATTGCTACTACTGTTCGCTTGAGATGGTAGTACCACAAGCTCGTTCAACTTCAAGTCGCATATGCTGAGCATATCCTTATCAAATATTATATCGACGAACATGGCGCCCGTAAGGTATTGCCAGGGGGAACAGTAGATGGTTTCGAAGTGGATGTCCAGCCGACTGTCGGGATAGTGTTTGCAAAAGAGCACGAGATCCGATATGGCCTGGGTGTTTTGGTTGCAGATGTTTTCGGTGTTGAGGACTTTGATTCGCATGTGTTTGGCCTGCTTTGCCGGGAGACGGCGCAGGAACTCGGCGCACTGTTGGGGGGCTCTAGTACCATTGTCTTCGCCATTGGCAAAGAAAATAGTGTTGTATCGCATCTCAAGCCCTGTTGTCTCTCGGTAAAGTTGCTGGCAGACAAGCTGAAGCTGATTAACAGGGAATACCTGAGGCACTGGTACTTCCTCTTTGACCTCATGGTTGCTCACGTTGTCCAAAGCATCGGTTTCAGAATTATCGTCTCCCTCACTCCGCTCAAACTCTCCCCGATCCCTTACTCGCAATCGACCAATGCCACCAGACGTTTCATAGCAGAGGCCGTGGTTTTCAGTGAGCGCGTACTCACAGATGAGACTACGCATCTCAGCTGGAAGGTCGAGGAAGTTGCGAGACATGGAGAGTTTGATTGATTGGTTGATTGATTGATTGTTGTTTTGTAATCAGGTATATAGCAGAGTAAGAAGAAAAAAGTGTTGTTTAAGAAAGCTTACGAGAGAGAGAGAGAGATGGAAAAGCAGAATATAGAGAAAGTGGTGTTTGAGATTTTACGAGAGATACAAGCGGAATATATAGCTATAGGAAATTTCCACTTTGGGAAAAAGTTGTGGAAGGGGGGTGAAGCTGGGTAGGGTCAATTGACCATCGGTAAAGGCAAGGAGGGAGCAAAGAGGCGGGCAAGCCCCCCAACCCACGCTTACTTTCACTTTTGCCCTTTACAGAAAGAGATCTGGAGAGTGAAAGCTAGTGAAGCTACGTCTTTCTATCACCACTCTACACTGCATTCCACTTCTGCGCCACATGGATCGTTAAGTAATTCTAAATGGCAAAAGTTCACTAAATGCATTGATCATTTTAGACTACATAACCCCATAATACTCATACTAACATGAACCCCCTAACCATTCATAGAACAAAACAGCCAGCCCCAAGCTAGAACCTCTATGTCGTACATGCATGCAAGGAAAAAAAAACATGAACAAGAAAAAAAAACGCTAGCAATCACCAATCATGCAGCCCCCCTCCTAAGACAGAAAGAAACACAAACACACACACACACATCCTTCCTTGCTATCATCATCATCCATCACAAAACCCTCGGACTCCCAATCACACTACTCCCAAACACGGGCTCCAACCTCACCCCACCAAAACTCCACCCATCGACAAAAACATCCTTCTTGTACCTCTTGCTCACCAAGAAGCCCAAGGCGCCATCCAAGCCCACATTAATCTCAATATCCCCCTGAATCTCCACCCAGCCTTTGCCCCTATACTCCTCATACCTGCGAGTCCCCACACGCACCCTGATAGCATCCGGCTGCAGCAACACGGCCGCAACATCGGGCGTAATCTTGACATCGACAAACCTTGTCGCAAAGTTGTCAGCATCGTACGGTTTGCCGACGCTGAAGATGACGTCACGGGGCGGGGTGTGGTCGGAAGAGTGGAAAGAGGCGAGGAAGGAGACTTTGTATTTGCCCTGGGGGATGCCCGTTTTGATGCTGCGGAGACAGATGTTGTCGGCGTGGAGGCACTGGTAGACGGCTGCTTCTTCGCGGCGCCCGTCGTGGTCCAGGTCTGCGGCTACGGGGTAGATTTTGCGCAGGCGGCCCGTGTCGTCGAGGGCGAGGCCGCCTTCGCCTGTGGGCGAGGTGCTGCGGTTCGGCGGGCTGAGGGTTACATCGAGGCCGGTGCCGATGGCCATTCCGCTCTTGAAGTCGACGTGGACGAGTTTGAACGAGTCGTCGAGCTTGCGCGTGCCGGACATGCCGACTGCGAATTCGGTGGCGCCGATTTCGAATTTCGGGGGTAGAGCAGAGAGCTTGGCCATGCGTTCGCCAAAGTCGCGGGCGGCGCGAATTTGTTGGCCGTCGTTCATGTAGAGTTCTGTTAGGCTGGCCATTTCGTCTTCCTTCATCCATTGCTCAAGACTGACGTCGGCGAGGCCACGGTCTACGTCGAAGCGGAAGTACTTGGTGTCCGAGTTGCTATACATGCGCTTCATTTCGTTGTCGACGCGTGCTGTGCTAGTCGCCATGCCGGTGAGTGCACTGGCGATTGAGATGTCGGTTCCAAGACCAAAGGGGAGCCACGAAGCCATCTTCTTAACGCTGGGAATGCTCTGGAGACCCGTTCCGACTGAGACTATGACGCCAATGGACCGGTTCTCCCATAGTGCTTTGGCTGCGTAATCGACTTCTGCACAGGGATTGTTGAAGCCTACGCCACCGTCGAGGTATGTGACTTTTGGTGTGCCAAACTGCATTTCTTCGAAAAACGTCGGTGCTGCCGATGTCGCCCGTAATGCCTCCCAGATGCGAGTAGTTCGGTCGTTTGGATCATATGTAGACAGGATCCTTGGAAGCCCTAGTGCGTTCTTGAGTGAAGTGAGCACAAAGCCGCGACAGCCCTTTGCATTTGCTTTCCGGTGAACTGATTGCCGCTTGTGAAGCTTCCATGTAGGGCTTCGTGAGGGCGCTTTTGGAGTGAATGGACTTGAACTGTAGAGTGTAGATGAAGGCCTTGTTGTGCTTGTAGTACTAAGCGGTGGTCCCGACTCCAGTGAAGCCAACGAGTTCTTCATAGTCGCCAGGGGACTTTCCGTGAGTACCAACTCCGGTGCGGCATCCGCCCAGATGCTGTCCCTAGGTAGTTCGTTTGTCTCTTCCACCTCTTCGAATAGCGCCTCGTCCCACATGAGCTCGTTAGGGTCGAAGCCCAAATCTTGCAGTGCGGTCTTGATGGCGTTTGCGAGCACAGCACCGGAGAACCGGCTAGCTCCTGTGGGCACTTTGATACCGAATGCTTTGATGGATCGGTCATGCTTGAAAATCTGCTCAGCCAGCTTGCTGTAAACGGCTATGCACTGTTTGCAGTCGAGCCGTAACCGCGAAAGCATGATGGCTATGATTCCTCCAGTCGATGTGCCGCCAATGAGGTCGAAATAATCACATGGCTTGAGTGGCTCATGGTTGTTCATCGCCCTCCTTCCGAGTCTCTTCTCTTCCAAAGCAATGTTTTCCATCAGTGTCTCAAGGACAAGTAGTGACGACAATCCGCGCACACCTCCTCCATCGAGTGAGAGCAACCGCAATGGCGCATTTGGGTTCCTCTCCGCGTTGGAAAGCTCCATGGCTGATGTTTGCCAGATAGACAAATGGTTCTCTTTCCGTGTTCTGCGTTCTGTATCCGATCCGGTGGTCCAGTAGATTCACTGGTTTTCAAATCTGCGAGTGCGTTGTTGGTTGGAAATATAGGGTAGTTCAGTAGAGTGTGACGACTAGATTTCAAATGCCACCTATATATCTAGATCTGTCCTGGGGCGGCCTCTTCCAAGTCCCTGCAGTAGTGGTGACACAATGAGTCAGGTGCTCGAGTCCTCTATGAATATCAGTGGTGCCTGCAAGGCTGCGGCTACCATAGTCGATTGAAACCTATAGCGTGCCAGAATCCGATAATTCAGGACACCACCAGAGGCGTAGAGCTGGGAACTACTAGCATCTTATAAACCTTCTAACGCGCCCACCCCCCACATTCGCATTCCGGTGTGCTGTATTTGCATCCATTTGCATGGGGTCTTCAAGGCTCTTGGGGGCCAACTTACGCGCTTACAGCTCAGGTGTGGTTAGCGAGGCCCACCATTGTACAGAAGCGGCAATGCGCTGCGCCACGACGGCTATGCGGCGCAGGGGCACTGAGTCTAGCACGAGTAGTGTGCATACAGTGTGCGTTGCAGCCTTTTGGTGAACTTGAGTGGTGTAGAGCAGCGAAAATCAATGATTCAGGAGTCGATCTGCATTGGTGGGTGTGGCGGCAAGAAAAAGCGACTGCGGCTGTGACGTGTGCTGGGGAGGGCCGGCGAATGACGGGCGGTGTCCGAGGCAGCTGCGCCTCGAGTGGGTGTGCCGCTGCACACGTTGGGTCAGCAGATGGGCGGGGCTCGTATCAGACGTGCAGGAAACGCCAAGCTGAGGCTCTGCGATAGACATGCACGCTGATGTATTGGTTTGGAACGTCCATCAGAGTAGCAGAAACGAAACAGGGCGCTGACTGGCCCTGTAATGTGATTATATTACATGGGTGCTAATGCGTTGAAGACGTGCGACTATGGCAAACCAGGTGTGCAAAACCAATATGCTAAATGTTCAAACCCTGGGTATTATAATCGAATGCTCTGTAACGCCGTACGTATCCTCCATGCTGGTTCATTGTCGTCATAAGTCGTAAATCGTCATCATTAGAAGTGTGGTGGTGCAGGCTGTATGCTGCAAATAATAGTCTGTGAACATGTCAGCCGTTGCGTCATGCAAGGTGTGTAGTGAAGAGCTCACACTTGTCATCTCGTCCAGCATGTTCTAGCGTCTCGGAAATAATCATTCTGGACCCAGCGGCAATAGTAGATGGGCTATGAAGTCATGCTGGCGAGATGGTAAATGATGTTTTTTTTGGTTCAATTTGAGAGGGCTTGGAAGCCTGTCCAATCCATGTAGGCCGACGTTCGCTGGTCGTACATTGCCTCCAGACAGGCGTCAGACTCTTTTGCTCTGAGGGTTCTCAGATTCTCGATCTTGGGGCTGTCCTTGCGCCTCAGTTTCTGCCTTGGGATATACACTGGGGAGGGTGAGGTCATGATGGTCCAGTAGCTCGGTGTGAAGTAGCACATTGGCGAGCGAGGACGGTTGTCCGGGGAACTGGGTGGGGATGAGGCCGGTGTTGATGGGGTCGATGGTGCCGAGGCCGAAAAGCTGGCAGCTTCTGAGAAGACGGAGGGGGTGGGCGACGAGGCTACAGAGCTAGTGTGGGAAGTGACGGGTGATAGTACCGTGGGCGATGCAGGCTGGAAAGGGGCAAACTGGCTGGGACCGGGGCGGCGCACGCTCCCTTTACCGGAGAGCGGGGATGGTCGTTTCGGAGTGGAAGCAGTGAGGAACGAAGGCGTTGATGGCGTCGGCTTTGGTGGTGTCGTTTTTGTTGGGATCGCTTTTGAGGGGGCGGGTCTTGATGGAGTAGCCATTGTTGGGACAGGTGGTGGAGGCCTTGTCGGAGGAGGTATCGCTTGGAAGATTTTTGGCGGCAAGGGTTTTGGCTTTGATGGTGTGGCTTTGAACAGGGTAGGCTGTGGCTTGGTCGTGGTTGTGTTGATGGTGGTAGTGATGGTGGATAGGGTAGGTGGCTGCTCATTCGGTGACGTGGGCGGGGGCATCAAGGCAGAGGGGTGGTGGGTCGGCTCTGGCGGTTGCGCATCTTCTCTATGGGACAGCGGCGAGGGCTTTCGTTCCGAGGCCATGGCACGTCGGACGCGCGGCGGCAGTGTGTTTCTCCTGCTGAAGAGTGGCGAGGGGCTCTTGACAATGTCCGAGTTGAACTGGAAGGGCTCTGGCGGTCTGGCGGGGCGCGATGATCCGGAGGGCAGCGAGTTGCTCCTGCTGGGCATGGAGTTGGTCCTGCTGAAGAGCGGCTGGGGTACAAGGTCGGTTTCGGAGCCAAAGGTGAACATGGGCGGCCCGATCATGTCGACGTCGGGCTTCTCTGCTGGCGCGGTCGTCTCTGGTTTTTTGTACTGGTAGAACTGGCGATAGGGGTGCCGTCGGGGCACTGGTGGTGTTTTGCATAGCGTCAACGTCTCGTCCATCAGCACGTCGAGGTCGGCCATCTTTCTTTTCATGCTAGACGGCCGCGTCCACGAAGCCAAAGGTCGCAGCCTCGTCGTCGTGGGGTCGGGGTCGGGGAGGCGGTGGTGAAGAACAAGCAGGTCGGGGTGGATGGACAGACGGGTGTGCGGCGGCGCAAGCGAGGCGACGCTGTGTGGTGTCTAGTCGGCTGGGCGGCGGCGAGGGCGGCGACAGGCTTGGTGGGCGCTGAGGGCAGGGCGGGAATTTTAGGCGGGCTCTGGCAGCATGACCAGGCTAGGCCGAATGCTCAGGAGACGCCAATTAGTCGGTCAAGTCCCGGGTTACGTGCGCGGCCACGCGAGGCAGTGTTGGCCGCCATTGGACGGGCGCTGCGCAAGCTGGACGGGCGATCCAAACTCTGCCAGCGTGGCTGGGCCTCTGTCGGCCTGCACCGTGCCTTTGACCGCCCCACGCGGTGGAGAGACGGATGGATGACCCCTCATCCTGCCCGGCGCTTCTGTGCTCTATACGTCCATCCGCCTACACACATGGCCGTGGCCGTGTACGCATGTCATGTCAATCACCCACCGGCCTGCTCCCCGCCAACCATTGCTGCCCCCCGCCCAGCTGCTGCTGATGACGATGAATGCGTACGAGGGCTCGAGCGAGCACCCTGTGCCGCCGCCCGACATGCTGCTCTGTCTGCATCCACGCAATCTCGTCCTCCTCAACCAAAAACAGACAAGACGGGAGCTAGCGACGTCCGGCTCAGCGGCTCTCTTCAGCTGCATCCCCGGAAATCGAGATACTCAGGTTTTGGTCGCCAGCCAACATGTCATGGCGCATGCACCCCTCGTCCCCAACGGTGCCGTCCCGGGCTGAGGTCATACACCTGCGCCTACGTAGTGTGGGTGCGGCCATGGCCATGTGTGTGTGTACACACACACTCCACCAAGGCCTGTTGTCTGTTGTCTGTGTCTCACATCCAGCGCATCCCTCGCACCCACGCGTGACACGCCTGACTCGGGCAAAGACGGTGTGTGTAGTAAACAATGAACATGTGTTCTCATTCGTCCAAGCTCAGGCCTCCTCATTCCGCACCCACCCCTCCAACCAAAGCAAGCCGGCCCCTCAGCAAAATACTCTGCCCTACATACTACATGCCCCCCCCCCCCCAATATTACAATCATTTATTCTAGAAACAAAACTGAACAAGAAAAAAAAGACCCCGTCGCAGCATAGACGCGTCCAACTAACTAACCCCCTTGTAAATGCAGACATTAACCGTACAAGCGCCTTGGTATCATCCAAGATTACGCAAACCACGTTACGCACATGGCAAACTCTCTTTCTAATAATATTCACAGCCCTCTCCCCCCCCCTTCCCATGCTCATCATCTTCCTCAATCCACGTCACCAGAAAACGTCCGCCGCCGTAGATTTGCGTCTCTGATGTTGTTGAGCGGGATGCCGAAATCGTCTTCATCCCAGTCCGCCTCATCATCTGACTCCCACGAACACGGGATCTTCTCGGCGCGGCGGGCACGATATGCACTCAGCCCAATGCCGTTGGAGATGGTCGTGGCAATCCGCAACATCATCGACACCAGATGTGCTGGCGGGCCCAGCACAATCTCATACGTCTTGCGCACTAGGGCATTGGTAAACTCCTTGCCAGGGCTGTGCTTGGGTGGGTAGAACAGGTTTTGCGTCGGGGGCATCGGGGAAAACGCCCGTCGCTGCGACGCCCCCGTCAGTCGCTTCATTCTGATGGCCTCTGGTGGTGTGGCAATATCCAGGCTGGCGCGGCCAAGACTGTCGCTGTCCGAGTCACTGACCAGCGGCGGGGTAGACGGCGCTGACGACGGGCGCATATTGGTCGACACAATCGTCGTAGCATACAATGGGACCGTGGGAGTCACGGGCGCAGATGCATCGGTCCGTTCTAGAGACAAGGCACGCACCGTCGCCTCTGATATATGTCTTCGGTGTGTCGAGCGTCCCCTGGGCTCGTCTTGTTGCTGTGCTGAAAAGGTAGCTGCCCACGGATTCATGTCCACCGTCTCAGCGTCCACAAACTTGGGTGAGGGGCTTCGTGGAGTAACCGTCGAGAGAGAGTAGAATGAGTCAGTGCTGGAGGCCAGGCTGCCGGCATCCGACACCTGACGCTCAAGCACTGGCTTCTCTGCGTCCCAACTCGCCTGACCTGTTGGCGACTCAATGATGCTCTGCATTGCAGACACAGATCCCGTCCTCTGCGTCTTGATTGGCGCCGTGACCGAGCGTACACCCTGAAAGAGACTTGCCCGTTCTGCCACAGAGAGACGGCGTGGGCACGGCTTGGACGACGGCAACAAGGCGGGGGACTCTGGCAGTATTCTCACAAAGGGAATCTCTGGTGCTTCGGGTACCGCCTCACTATTATCTGTGCAGATGCTCCGTCGATCATCCTCGTCGTTGGACGAAGCAGCGCTGGCCTCTGAGCGTTCAGTCCCGGCAGTAGAAGGCCGTGACCCGTATTGTTCCGGCACCCAGGTCTTGTCCAGAATCCACTTCTTCGCCTGTCCTGAAGGCTTTCTCTTGATGATTTTGCGCGGCGGACTCTTTGGCCGCTGCAGCTCTTCGACCCCAGCGCCTCGTCGGAAGGGGCATTGCGTCCGCTCATACTGCATCACTTGGGCGAGGACCGACTGAAAGTGGGTGATTTTGGCCTTGTCCTCCTCAGTCTCATAGGGGAGTTCGATACGATAATACGAGTCTTGCCGGACACGCAACACGAAGACGGACTGGTTGTCGACGCACCAGCATTGCGAACGCGGGAAGATGGTATGGAGCAGGTTGCCGCTGTTGAGGAAGGAGACATTGGACGCGGTCACACGGTAGATGCGTAGGACACCTGGTCAGGCATTAGCATTGCTCGCAGCTGGTGGCACCTGGGTGAACATGCCGACTGCCAGCGTACGCTCGGTGGGCGTCTTCCACGGTATCGGCTGCCATGCGTCACCCTGACGTTCTGGTGAGGGGCGCCGGGCCGAGGTGGCTGTGGTAAAGGAGAAGATCCTAGAGTCGGAACAAACAAAGAGAGTCTCGATGCCATCGACGCTGTTTGTAGATGCAGGCACCGATGCTGTCCTTGGTACGGCGCGCATGGGAAGGGTGAAGCTTCTCCGTGCGGCTACAGGGTTGTTGGCAGTCAGAGGGGAGGGCGCGTCATGGAGGTGCTGGGGTGAAGCCGGCAGGGACATGGCGGGCCAGCTATGCGAGCATTTCGGGCCTGAAGAGGCTGCGGCTGCGGCGAGGATAGTGTGTACAGGAAAGCGTCCGGCGCCTGGTAGTAGGGATTCGACGTGTGCTCAACAAGAGTCGTGTGCGTGTTGAGGGCGAGGTCGTCTCAGCCCTGTCCGTCCCTGGCCGGTGGCGGAAGAGTACGCGCTACCGCCATGGCCACTGGGACGGTGTCGAGTCTCAGCCCGGTCAGCCCATGGCGGCGCCAACCCCACGTCTCTCTGACATGAGCCACACCGCAGTACCAACGGGCACGACGGATGAGAGAGAGAGGACAGTGAGGATATACATACAAGACAGCGCGCATGCCCCGCGTTCGCGACAGCGCTGCATGGCACCTGCAACGGTGACGGCGCGGGTGCTGGCGCCCCATACATAGTAACAGTAGCTCCATGTTCGTCATCTGCTCCACCGGTTCGCAGGCGTTCGCACAGCACAGAGTCGAGGCCGACGTGGAGCCACTACGTACGTGTGCACTGAGCCTTTTGCTGCGTGCTCTCGTCAGACCACTGCACTGTTCGTCCGACTGTCTACTCAGACTGCCCGCCATGGACAAAATCGACATGGCCAACTTCGACGTGTCCAATTTCGACCCCAATGCCATCCTGCGGGGCGCCCAGCTGACTCTAGTCGGCGGTATGTTGCTACCCATCAGGCTGTCGTGATCTTCCACAGGTTGCTGTCTGACACACTGCGCAGTCAATCGAGCCCTCCAAAACCCGCGTCTCTTCACCTCCGACCACTACCGCCAGGCCGCCATAGCCGTAGCTGCCGGCGTCGCCATCCGCATCATCGTCGCCATTCCCGTACGTGCCGCAGCATAGCCTGGCCAGGTCTACAGCAAACAGCGTCGCTTACATACTTCAGATTGTTGGTGTACGAGTGTTACTATGGATCATCTCGCTGTTTGTCGACATGAGCCAGACAGGGCTGGATGAAACCATCATAGATGGCCTCCACTTCCTTGAGCACTCGGTGCTTCAGGTGCCCTTCTTTCTCATGACGCTGATGCGCTATGTGACGCCGACACTCGACCAGATGTAAGTCACCACCACTGGTACTCGGGCTCGTCTAACCTACATCTTTACAGGTTCATGGACTCGCTGCGCTGGGTCGACGAGACATACGTGCAAAAGCACAAGACGGACGACCCGCACAACCTCCGCGCCATGTACTATCCCAACCTTGAAAAGTACCCCGACCACGCACCCAAGCCGGAGAAGGAGAAGAAACCCCTCAAGCAGACTGTGATAATGTACGCCACAAAACAGAGCAGAAAGGCGGCCATTTCACTGGCAGTCTTGGCTCTCTCCTACATGCCCTACGTGGGGCGCTTAGTGCTCCCAGCTGCCAGTTTCTACACATTCAAGAAGGCGGTGGGAACCCAGCCAGCAGCTGCCATTTTTGCAATGTCTCTCCTCTTCCCTCGCAGGTACTTGGTCAGCTTCCTGCAAGCCTACTTTTCTTCTCGCACGCTTATGCGTGAGCTGGTATGTTCCGCTTTCGCTATCTCCCGAACCTTATTCCGCTGACATCCCATCAGCTTGAGCCGTACTTCAGCCGTGTCCGTTACACCAAGGAGCAGAAGAAGCTTTGGTTCAGAGACCGTGCCGGTGTCCTTTTTGGATTCGGCCTAGGCTTCTATGTCTTTGTCAAGATCCCACTTGTCGGCGTCCTTATCTACGGTCTCGCTGAAGCCTCGACAGCATATCTCATTACCAAAATCACCGAACCACCTCTGCCGCCGACCGAAGCCGAAAAGTTTAAGCAAGAGTCGCTCCGTTGGAAGAACAAGCACGAGTTTCTCAACATGCCCTGGCAGCACATGGATGAATACAATCTGGCAATGCATAGGCCCAAGGAGCAGTCTGAAGTGCGCCAGACTCCGAGAAAAACGTTTAGCTAGAACATGGTCATGTCCGCCCCGCTTGGCTTAAACTGAGAGCAGCTCCTCAGTCATGACGTACACGCAGCTTATTTCCGTGGAAGCAATGGCAGCCAGGTTCAATTGGGCAGTTGACAGCCAAGCGTAATGGACTGCTACGCTATCTGGCATGGCGGGATGATGATGTCCGTTCTGGACATGCCCCGCAGTGGGGTTGACGCGTCTTGTTATGGGAGGTAGCCTGATAGCTCCATTCGATGAAACATAACGTAACCGCATCGTATCACTCAGCTTATCATAGACGATGTATCGATAGTTTAAGAGGGAATGTGCGGCATCTTCGGCAATTGGGTGTTTTGTAGAGATAACAATTCATCGCCTGACCCTTTCGGTATCCCCCTTTTGTCCGGCTGCTATTATATCATGAGCCCCTCTTTTTGTAATGGATTGTGTTTGCTCTTCCTTTCCTCGCTTTTGATTTTCATTTCAGTTCCAATTCCTAACTCACAGATTTCCAACCGTTACTATGGGTAAAGACGCCATCCGATACGCAGCCAAAGTCGATCTAGACAAACCAGCAGCAGAGCAAGAATGCTTGCACGTGTGTCTCCCGCAAATCACTCATACATGACTATACCATTCTGACCCAAAAACCCCCGATTTTTAGAACCGCTGGCACCCAGAAAACCCTTCATACGCCACCATCAAGCCCGGTGAAGTTGTCAAGATCGAATGCGTCGACTGGACCGGCGGCCAAATCGGCAACAACGACTCAGCTGACGACGTGCGCAACGTTGATCTCACAAAGATCCACTATCTAACAGGTCCCTTTGACATTGAGACTGCGGAGCCAGGTGATGTGCTTGTGGTTGAGATTCAGGATGTGCAACCGTTGGATGAGCAGCCGTGGGGGTTTACGGGTATCTTTGCGAGGGAGAATGGAGGTGGGTTTCTAGATGAGATTTATCCCGAGCCGTAAGTGTTTTTTTTAAAAAAAATCTCACAAATGACTATATGTGTGGATACGGGTTTTTGAGAGGTAGGAAGAGAACGGATACTAATAATGGCGAAAGAGCAAAAGCGATATGGGATTTCGAAGGTATCTTCTGCAGTTCCAGACACATTCCTGGGGTCAGATTCGCAGGCTTGATTCACCCAGGAAGTAAGTATTCCCTCCTTCTCTCTCTCCCCCCCCCCTCCCCTCTTATACATCAAAATAAGATACATAGGAGAGAGAGATAAAGAGTAAAGAAGAGAAAAATTAACTCGAGACCACACAGTCCTCGGCTGCGCTCCCTCAGCCTCCGTCCTCGAAACCTGGAACAAGCGCGAAGCCGAACTCATCTCAACACACACGCACCTCAACCGCATCGTCGCGCAACCGCCGCAACCCCTCAACACGCACGCCGGCCGCGCCACGGGAGACCTGAAATCCAAAATCGCCCAAGAAGGCGCGCGCACGATCCCGGGCCGCCCCGAACACGGCGGCAACTGCGACATCAAGAACCTCTCTCGCGGCTCCAAAGTCTACCTCCCTGTGCACGTTGCCGGCGCCAAATTCAGCGTCGGCGACCTGCACTTTAGCCAGGGCGACGGCGAGATTTCCTTTTGCGGCGCCATTGAAATGGCAGGCGTCATTACCCTCAAGTTTAGCGTCATGAAGGGAGGCGTCGCCCAGTTGGATATGAAGAGCCCCATTTACGTACCTGGTCCTGTGGAGCCCCAGTTTGGCCCCGGGAGGTATATTTATTTTGAGGGGTTTAGTGTGGATGAGACGGGCAAACAGCATTATTTGGATGCGACGGTGGCGTATCGGCAGACGTGTTTGAGGGCAATTGAGTATTTGAGGCGCTATGGTGAGTTTTTGTCTGTCTTTTCTCTTTTGGTGTTTTGTTCTTTTTTTTTCACGTCTTTCTATCCTTCTCCCTTTTTTTCCCCCACCTTTTTACTCCATGTTCTCTCTTTTCTTTTCAACGTGGGCTTTGTTTTGGATGATCCTTGACTTTTGTCATGGGATGAACATGCTATGAAACGCTCTGAATTTCCTTACTATATCTTCTTTTTTTTTCTCTGCCGAGGTTTATCAGGTTTTCCTCCAACATCCTCACTTTCTTTTCTTGGCGCTAACTGAGACGATTCAAATAGGCTACAGCGACTATCAAATCTACCTGCTGCTCTCCTGTGCACCGGTACAGGGACATGTGGCGGGCATTGTCGATATCCCCAACGCGTGTACGACCATGGGACTGCCTATGGATATATTTGACTTTGATATTAGCCCGCATGTCCCGGCTACGAAGAGAGATCTTGGTACTTGTGCATATGCGTCAAAGTAGGATGCTACCACTACTCCGCAGTGCATGTTTGAAATGCAACTGCGTGTCTCCGTGTAGTTGTCGGGCTAGTTCTCAAATGCGGTTATTACCAGGTGGCCCATGTATGTATTTTGAACTTGATTGTCTCAGAAGAAATGGTTACAACCCTCATAGGATTGTTGTGGTTCTCTGTCTAGGATGTGGAGGTGTGAGAGAGAAATGTCCTGTAATATCCGCACCATCGCGCTAACGGGGTAAGATTATGATGGATGCAAACCCCAAGAAACCCCAACCTAACGTTCCGCTTGTCCCCTGGTCCTAGAGAGGGCTTTGTTCCGCGGTCTGAGCGTTGACCCGTATCGATTAAAAAGGGCCGATTTGTCACCCGATGTTAGGGTTGAGACAGCGACCCAAGAGAGAACAGAGAAGAAATAATACACGATGCTCCGGATTACGAGCGAGGGCGAGTTTCCCTCGAATTGTATCGGTAAACTTTGGCTTCGTCCCGTGCAATCTCGATCTCGATCTTGATTCGATTGATTCACTGATGGAGACGGGTGGCATGCCTCAGCATCGAGAGAATTTGTGAAAGTGGGGGACGAACATTAAAGAAATTGTGTAACGGGTGGGATGAATGCAGTGGCATTAACTTGGGCATTGGGCAACCCGGTAATACGTACTCTAGACATCATTCAATCAAGTACTGGCTGCTTTGCTGTGTTAGGTTAGCCTGTGCAATCGGCGCTCACGATACACACATGGCACGCCAATCAATGATAGAAGTTTCACATCGATCGTACGGCAATGGCCCGCTGGAACAAATAATGAGGCAATCCTCAAGAATTCTTTCAAAGCTGAGCGGCGGTATGTCGTTTGCTTGGTCCATAACGATTTCTCTACGACAACCACACCATTTTAGAGAAGCCATGACAGCGATATAACTGTGGCTACTGTTCGTCATAGTGTAATACAGACAGCAAATTTGGTGTCATCAACATGCTCCACCAACATAAAAGAGATGCCAGGCGATAGTAGAGCGATCAACTGCCCATGATTGGCCTCTTTTAGCCCGGGAGATGTACGGCGTATCGGCGACACAGAATCAGGAATACCCGCTACAGTTATGCCGTATGGTTCGGGAACCCCAGGAAGGCGTGGGACATGATCATGGATGTGTTGTTCAGAGATGGAACAAAATATTGTGGTGGTGGTGTAAACATGATGTATTGAGCCATAGTCATGGGCAATGCATAGTTGTTCTTCACACCTAAGAGATTGCTAAGGGCACATAATATCATTGAACAGCCCTGTCCTCTTATGCCACGCCATAAGCCGAGTCGAAGCCGGGATTAGGTCCGAGTTTGGCTGACATGTGTAGAGTAGTCCCAGTGGTGCATTGCCACGTGACGCTCGGGATAAATGTACTGCGTTAGTCATTTTCACAAAACCTTTTCGGCAGCGGAAACTAAGAATGTTAGCTGCGTAGAGTCTTTATGCGCCAAGAAAGATTTACCATTGAGCCCAGTGTTGTCGGGTTCTACGTGCGCAGCCTTGACAGTACCATTTTCGATGACGAGAGCGTATCGCTTTGAACGATCGCCTCCGAAGATGGATGTGCCATCAAAAGACAGACCAAGCGCTTTTGTGAAGTTAAGGCTGGGATCGCCCAAGAAGCGAATCTGGTTGTATTAATACAGGGTAGCTGGACTATGGTGCGAGGTAACACTTACGCCACTCGAGCCGGAAGGATCAAGCATCTTGCCCCATGCTTTCATACTATGCACCCATAACGTCAGTACCAGCAAATCACAATCAGCTCCAAGGAACTGTTTCGACGGGATATTTTTTTTTCCTGGGGAGTGTCTCTTGTGCATGTCGTGTCCGCGAGTGTGACCCACGAGTCAAACAAGACGTGGCCGCCACCGAATCGCCGAGTCAGCCATGAGGAGGCATCCGTGGCTGCCGGGTGATTTTTGCGAGGAGACTAAACCTACACAAACGGGTCGTTGACCGAGACCACAAAGACTTTGCCAGCATCTTTCAGCTTGGGGGAGTTGATGTAGCCGGGTACATGGCTTTCCGAGCACGAGGGCGAAAACGCGGCTGGGACACCTGCGGCTTCTGTCAGACGGCCGCGCTTTTTGAAATGGAGATTTGCGCCGTGTTGGGCTCACCGACAATGACACCCTTGCCGGTCAACTCGTTGGCGAGGTTGACCCTATTGCCGGGCGATCCCTCGACCAGGTGGACGTCAGGCAGCTTGTCGCCCACCTTGACGAATGCGGGCGCCGAAGCATGAAAGAGACGGCGGCCAGCGAGGGGGCGGACGAGGGGCAGACGACGGGAGGCAGCAGAGAACATGGCGGCGCAGTGAGTACTAGACAGGCGAGAGAGTGCGTGTGTAGGCGTAAGTAGAGTGTCGTGGGCACGTGTGTGCAGTACGTATGTAGTAGAGCACGTGTGCGGGCTGGGGGTGATGGTGGTGGTGAAGGTGGGGGTGCTCAGTCTTGGCTTTGGGTGTGTGGAAGGCAGCAGGCGGCAGGCGCAGGCGCAGGCGACGGCCACAGCCAAGGGCAGCCCCTTCCTCGCCGACGTCCCCAAGCGGATGCAGTCCACAATATCCAGACGCCCGTTTCGGACGTGACAGGCTCCATAAATACGTTGCGGTGCGCATGCCAACCAAGAGCAGTCCTCTGGGCCTCGCGGCGGCAGGCAGGTTGCGGATAATGACTTGGCTTTTGGGGGAGAGGGGCCCACTGGTGCGTTAGTGGGTGCATCTTGGACGCTTGCTGTGCGCTGCCGATCCTACTACTGTGCGGCCGGTCATGGGCCGTCAGCGGCATAGCTAGCGGAGCTGCCCACGTCAAGACGGCGACGAGACCCATGGCACCGCGACTGGAGAGGGTGGCGGCAGCACCACCAGCACCAGCACCAGCACCAGCACCACCACGACTGCATCTTGCGTGCCTGCGCGCTTCTTCCCCCCGTCGGCCACAGGCGCAGACACGCAGCCATGTATCGCAGCCATGCACGCGGGCGCCGTGGCGGGCGGGCGGCCGAGCCGGTCGCTGTAGGCGTGTGAGTGTATAAAAAAGGGACACACGGCCCTCTCGTATCCGCCCGCCCCGGCATCCCTGCTCTCCTCGCTCGGCACGCCCGCTTGGCTCCCCTAGCCCATGCTCGACTGCAATCCTCTCAAGGCCCCGGTTAACCTGCTTTAGGGCCGTTTAGCTCACAAGCCAACGAGCAGAGCCCATGTCTCCTTGCCTCTTCCACCTGAAGGCCCAGATCTCGTCCATTGCCCTCTGTTCTCCTGCGACCAGCCGTGCCTGTTTTGGCTAATTTCGTCATCGCCCTTTCACCCTCCATCTGCTCTGCCAAGCGACCACTCCCTACCCCCCGTATATTCCAACGCGCACCCTGAGCCTCGCGCGCCCTCCGCCGTTTGCCGCCCTCTCGACTCCCCTCGTCCCAATTGCTCCTGTCCGTGCCCGGGGTCTCGATATCCATCTTGCCCATCGACGCGAGGCGCCTGTTGCTGTCGCGCACCCACTTGGACTGCCACCCAGGCATTCTGCGCCTCTTGCGCCTGTAGACCACCCGGCATCATGGATTCCAACCAAGGCGGTGGAGGCGGCTCCAACAACTCGAGCGACTTTGTGCGCAAGCTGTACAAGTACGTCGAGGCGCGCAGGTGTCTAGATCGACGCCCTGGTACCAACTAACGCCAATTCAGGATGCTCGAGAACCCCAGCGACGAAAGTGTAGTGCGGTGGGGCAATGACGGTGACAGTTTTGTCGTTCTGGAAGTATGCAGCTACTAGTCCCATTTGTTTCGTTGCAAACAAGTTAACCCCGAGCCAGAACGAAAAGTTTACCAAACACATACTCCCCAAACACTTCAAGCACAGCAACTTTGCCAGTTTTGTCCGCCAACTGAACAAATATGATTTCCACAAAGTCCGCCACAACAATGAAGAAAATGGGCAGTCGCCCTATGGACCTGGGGTACGCTTTGCACACGCTCTTTGCGGCTATTGTCCGCTGGGCGTACCGTCACACGTCTGACTTGGCCATGGCTAACCAACACTACACAGGCCTGGGAATTCAAGCACCCAGATTTCAAGATGAACAACAAAGATGCACTCGACAACATTCGCCGAAAGGCCCCCGCGCCACGAAAACCAAACCAGGCAGCCGCTGAAGACTTTGCACCCTCGCAGCAAATGGACATGGTCAGCGGGCAACTAATGGCGACACAGGCCCAATTACACCAGCTCGAGGGGCGATACAACGAGCTAAACATTCATCATTCCATGCTTTTGCAAGAGGTCATTGGTTTACAAAAGACGGTTGTTAACCACGAGCATGTCATGCAGCAAATTATGACTTTCTTGCATGGCGTGGATGCGACACAGCGGAGGAACAGCAAGCTCGTCTTCAACGGCGGTGAAGCCCAGAATGGCAACATGGACCCCCCATCAAACAATGATGACGACAACCCAGCTTCGCCTTTGCAGCATGCCTCCAAGCTTCTCAGTGAAACCAACGCCGATGCCATGCTGAACCCCCGCAATCTCGAGCACATGAATGAGATTACCATGAGGATGAACGGCACCTTGACAACACCACCACCAGACTTTGCTAGGGCACAAATGCGGCCCACAAGCCGCGGCCCGCCATCAGCAACTTCGACAAACTCGATGCGCCTTGACAACTTGGACAATCTCGTATATCCAGTTGGGTCCTCCAACGGTATTGATCCCATGTACAGCGAGCACATCAACAACATTCCCTACGCTGCTCCACCAAAAGCCGTGGACCAAAACGAGCCCAAGGTGCCCGAGGGGAAGAAGAAGAGTGCTTTCCCTGACCCAGGATGGATCAGGCCGCCACAAATCTTGCTTGTCGAGGACGATCCTACCTGTCGCCGTATTGGAAGCAAGTTTTTGTATGCTTTCCACTGCTCTATCGATAGTGCCGTAAGTTTTTCTTTATCCCAACATTTGCTACTTGTATTAACTGAGCTTAGCTCGACGGTCTCGAAGCTGTCAACAAAATGAATGCTGGCTCTAAATACGACTTGGTCCTGATGGATATCATTATGCCAAATCTTGACGGTGTCTCTGCGTGCCATCTGATCCGGCAATTTGACACCACGCCTATTGTCGCCATGACATCGAACATTCGTAGCGATGATATTTCGATGTACTTCCAGCATGGTAAGACAGCCCTGGATGCCTACTAGTTTTGTACTAACAAGACTAGGTATGAATGATGTTCTACCCAAGCCATTTACCAAAGAAGGACTGTTGCATATGTTAGAAAAACATCTGGTCCATCTGAAAAAACCATCAGCTCAAGGTGACGGGTCCATGGTGGCACCGCAACCTGTACCGATAGCACGGCAATTGGTGCTCAAGGAAGAGGAATCGCCGGGCAAATCACCACAAGCCGTCAGCAACTGGAACTCGCCCAATCAAATCCCGGGCGTATCTCCAGTCGGCACTTCAGTTCCAGAAGACTTTGCGCAAGCCATGCGAGGGCAACCAGTGCAACACCCAAATTCATACGGAGTCAATCCTATGCAAGGGAACATGGGGTATAATGCTTCATCACATATGCAAATACAATCACAGCAACAGCAGCAGCAACAGCAGCAGCAACAACAACAACAGCAGCAACAGCAGCAGCAGCAACAACAGGCACAACTACAAGGTCATCGCAGACAGGTCTCTGAGATTTCCGGTGGGGATGATATGAACAATCCAGCGAAACGTCAACAAATGTATCCTCCTCAGATGCAACAGCAAATGGGGGGAATGCAGCCTCGCCCTCATTGATTGAAGGCGTGTTGCAGGAGCCTGAAGCGAAAACAAAAGTATAAAGAAAACATAGAGAAGACAAACTGGACACTGGCTTTTATGCCAGCAGGCATTAGCGACGGAGTTTTAATACAGAACAAGGGTGTTCTGTGCGAGTCGTAACCGAGATCCCATGGTCGCAAGGCCATTTGTCGTGGCTGGCCCTTTGACGCTTTGTAGTAAGACGCAAGGATGCAACGGTTCAAAAGCTATGTTGTGGGAGGGCATCAAGGACTGTAAGTTCTGGGCGTTCAAGGTTGTAAAGTGACTTGTTGTTAAGTGGCTTGGGAGCTGGGCTGGACATTTGCTAGGAAATACCCTACTTGCTAGAGAAACAATTTGATATGTAATTTCGCTCCAAGGTAACGGAGTTATAGGAGAGTAAGACCTTGTCCTGATTCAACAAAAACAAGTACAGTGTGTTACTCCGCGGTCCGAAAGGCTACGGTGGCTGATCGTGAGCCGGCCAGGAGACTTATATACCAACGCCTCAGTCATAGGCGACGGGCTCTGTACAGTGTACAGGATTCGTACGTCAGGTCGCATCTGGTGCTTATCAGCATGAGATAGCGGATGTGTTTCAGGGTGCGAGTGTCGTTGCAATAAGCATTTTGCAGTAGATGCTGCCCCCGGCGGTCCAGACCACCAAAGCCTGGCCAGAAGGCTGCGCACGAGCTCGTTCGATATTCATGCGCCCTGTTGCAGCGGCTTACCCGCAGAGCCTTCCCGCTAAAGGACCCGAGTCCAGACGGGACCCGGGGCACTGGTTTTGCGTGGTGGTCCCCGGTTTTGGGCTTGTGACTCAGCGGCGGTGGTGAGTGTGTGGAAGCTTTTTTGGATGTCGTAGCAAAACACCCCACTACCGACTACCCGCCCCATTCCACACCCCCCAGCCGCCCACCTTTGATCCTTTTTGCGCAATACAGCACCCCCCTCCCCTCCCTTTCAAGCATGCCGCCAAAAGGAAAAAAGGCGCAGGACAAGGGCAAGTCGGGCGAAGAGGAGCGCGACGAGCCGCTGCAGGCCGTGGTGTGTAGTGCGATGCCTTGAATCCGTACGGAATTTTGCTAACTCTGTAGATACTCGCCGACCCGTTTGAAACACGCTTCAGTCCCTTCACACTCGAACACCCAAGGGTATGCATCCCCGTGCAGAGGCACCAGTCGCATGCTGACACGCTTGCTAGTGTCTGCTGCCCCTCGCAAACACCCCGCTCATCGAGTACACGTTCGAGTTTCTCGCAAACGCTGGCGTAGAGGAGGTCTTTGTATACTGCGGTGCACACCGGCAACAGGTTGAAGACTATGTGAAGGCTTCAAAATGGTCCTCCAAGTCATCGCCCTTTTCCAAACTAGAGCTGATCCAGTCGACATCGCATTCCATCGGTGATGCGATGCGCGACCTCGACAGCAGGGGATTGCTAGTCGGTGACTTTCTCTTGGTCTACGGTGATGTCGTTAGCAACCTGCCACTAGAGTCTGCCCTCGCAGCGCATAGGGCGCGACGGTTGAAGGACAAGAATGCCATTATGACCATGGTGCTGCGCGAAGCTGGTACCAATCATAGGACAAAGGCCCAGGAAACTAGCCCCGTCTTTGTTATCGACCCGCGCAAGGACAGATGTTTGCACTTTGAGCAAATGCCCAACCGGGATCAGACCCACTATCTCTCCATCGACCCTGAAATACTCTCGACCCACCAAGAAATCGAGGTCCGCGAGGATCTAATCGACTGTGGTATCGATATCTGTACACCGGATGTGTTGGCGTTGTGGAGTGACAACTTTGATTTCCAAGCACCTCGCAAAGGCTTCCTACATAGCGTATTGAAAGACTATGAGCTCAACGGCAAAACATTCCACACGCACATCATATCAGACCACTACGCGGCAAGAGTACGGAATCTCCACGCTTACGACTCAGTCAGCAAGGATATCGTGTCACGCTGGGCGTATCCACTATGTCCAGACAGCAACCTGGTGCAAGGGCAGTCATACAGGCTGCAGAAGCGTAACACGTACAAGGAGGAGGGTGTTATCCTAGCTCGCGACTGCATCGTTGGGCCCAAAACGGTCATCGGACGGGGGACCAGCGTAGGCGAAAAGAGCGTCATCACCAACAGCATCATTGGAAGAAATTGCCAGATTGGCCGAAATGTCAAGATTGATGGAGCATACATCTGGGACTACGCCAGCATAGGGGATGGCAGCACGGTGACCAAGGCGATTATTGCAAACGAAGCAGCGATAGGGCGCAGGTGCACAATAGAGGCTGGCGCACTCATCTCATACGGAGTTAGCATTGGCGAGGGCATGGTTGTTCAGGGAGAGCACAGAATCACAAGAACAAAGCGGAGACGAGAAGAAGGCGAGGAACTCGTTCGAGGCGATGCGGAACCGGCGATTGTTGGTGAGAAAGGCGACGGGTTCGAGTTTCACGACTCAGATGAGGATGATGAGGATGAGCTTATCGAGGGTCTTGTGCTCAAGGGGCCGAGTAAGTCGAAACACGCAACCATTACGGCTGTGCTAATAGAATTAGTGTACAACCTGTCAAACGAGTCAATATCGACCCTCAACTCGGACTCCGAAGCAGATGAGTATGATATAGAGCGCCGCGAGAGATCAGCGACGAGCAGTTTCCTTTCAGTAGGCTCTGCAGACAGCCAACACGCGGCCAACTTTGATCACGATGCTTCGGCGAGTATCTACGACTCGCTGGTTGAGGGCCATGAATCTGCCAATATTCAACTGGAACTCACAGCACTTCGTATGAGTACCAATGCGTCGGACCATCAAGTCAGACGTGCAGTCGTCTCGTCTTTCGTCAAGCGTGTCATTTCACTCATCAAATCGGGCGAGACAATGAAGAGCGCAATCGCGCAGGTCTTTGGGCAGCACAAGGAGCTTATCGATCGGTCCATCTTCGATAAGAGCGCGCAAAGCAAGGTTGATCAAATCGACTTTTTGCTGTTGCTGCAAGCAGACCTGTGCAACAAGGAAAACGGCGATAGCATCCTGCTGAGCACAGCAACCAAGCTTGTTGAGTTGGATTGTATCGAGGAGGATGGCATGCTGCAGTGGTGGGAAGATGAAAAGAGTGCGGAAAATGCAGAGATGGCGAAGGTGCGGGAAAAGACAAAGTCGCTCATCGACTTCTTGCAGCAGGAGAGTGAAGATGAGAGTGAGGAGGAGGAAGAGAGTGAAGAGGACGAGTAGCCAGGTGTAGGCCGAAGTCATTGAGGCCCAAGTGAACGACTTCCGCTATTGAGCCGATGCATTGAGTGCTCGCAAAAAAATGGCATCATGATACAAGCAGGTTCTGTTTTTTTGTCTATGCTCTCCACGGTGTCCCTCGGCGTGATAGTCTCCAAACCCCCAATGTAGAGGTTTAGCGACAGCTCTGCACCCGCACCTGTCAAGACGTGGGATGGCGCAGAACTGTTTTTCTTCTCGTATTCTTTTTTTTGTTTGCTCGGAGACAGGAGAAGTGAAATGGCATGGTGAAACACAAAAAGCAACGGCATGGTTGATGGGGCATATCCGAGGTTACGGGCACGTGTTTGCGAGAGATGGTGTGGAGGGCCCTACAAATATAGAACCATGGTAGGTGGTGGGCAGCGCTACTGCAGGAGGCACAGGCTGCAACATGGAGGGGTGGAGGAGGGTAGCAGTAGCAAAAGGGGTGGGTTAAGGTTCAGAGGAGGTTTGAGCCGGTGTTTTGCGGTGCATGGGACGGGCGGGCGCCACATGGAAAGGCGGCGAAGATCCGGAGAGACGCTCTGGGTGCTGGTGCGGTTGCCTCTTTACGTCAGCCCCCCCCCGGAGGCTACAGCCCAGCCCGAGCCAACCATCGGGTGAGGTGCCCGCATCCAGGACCGCCGACTGCATTCCACCTTTGACCACCCCCAACTCTCGCCTTTGTTGCAGCCGCCTCGCTGGCCAATACCCTTGTCTTCTGTGCCCAACTGTCAACTGTCCCGCCACTGTCCATCGTCCACGCGCACTTAAGGCCTGCCTTATCAGCCGCCCTCACAGTCACACACGCACACGCACCCATACCCACCCTCGCCGCAGTAGCCTAGTGTTCCGTCATCAGGCGGGACACGCCCAACCAAGACGCCTTCCTCTACAGTTCGCAAGCGGAAGGCTGACGAGGCGAACTACCTCAGTCCCGCAGAGGAGCCTCCCCAAAAGAAGTCGCAGCTCTCACCTGTCCGTCACCTGCCACACACCCCCGCTGCACCCGACGCCCCCGATATGGATTCCGACGACGACTTCAACAGCTCCATGAGCGGCGATGGCTTCGACGACCAGGACAGTGACATGGGCTTGGAGGATGGTGCGTAGACCGTTCTGTCTTGTTCAAACGGCTGACTAGTTGACTGACTGACTGCATGCAGACTCCGACTTCGACATGGACCAGGACGATGTCGGCTTCGAGTCCCAAGACAAAGACATCAAGCCCACTAAGCAGGCGTACGAAGTAGATTTCAAGGTCTTTGACCCAGTCCAAATCCAAGCACAGCAAGACAAGCAGGTCGACGAAGTATCGAGTATCCTCGGCCAGCCGCCCGAAGCCACCGCCATCCTCCTCCGCCACCTACGATGGAACAAGGAACGCCTAATCGACCAGTACATGGAGAGGACAGAGGAGATCTTGGAGACAGCAGGCTTGAGTCAGGATTCTACCACCAACCCACCGAAGATTCAAAAGGTCAAGGGTTTTGTCTGCGACATCTGCTGCGATGACGACCCCGACATGGATACATTCGCCATGAAGTGCGGCCACCGCTTCTGCCTGGATTGCTACAGGCAGTATCTCGCCACCAAGATCCAAGACGAGGGAGAGGCGGCTAGAATACGATGTCCTGGTGAGGGCTGTACTCGGATAGTAGACTCCAAGTCGCTAGACCTTCTTGTTACAGCAGATCTCCATGAAAGGTATGGTACTTGCCGCCTCACTTTCCATCCATTCCGCTAATGTCTGTAGATACCATACCCTCCTCACACGAACCTATGTCGACGACAAGGAGAATCTCAAATGGTGCCCTGCCCCCGACTGTAAATACGCTATTGAATGCCCAGTTAAGAGCAAGGAGCTTACGAGGGTTGTTCCCACTGTACACTGCGATTGCGGACACGCCTTTTGCTTTGGCTGTACATTGAACAACCACCAGCCGGCACCCTGTGCTTTGGTCAAGAAATGGGTCAAGAAGTGCGAGGACGATTCAGAGACTGCCAACTGGATATCAGCCAACACCAAGGAGTGTCCAAACTGCAACTCTACGATTGAAAAGAATGGCGGCTGCAACCACATGACTTGCCGCAAGTGCCGCAACGAGTTTTGTTGGATGTGCATGGGCAAATGGTCGGAGCATGGCACCAGTTGGTATAACTGCAATCGATTCGAAGAGAAGAGTGGATCCGAGGCACGCGATGCGCAGGCCAAATCTCGACAGTCGCTCGAGCGATACCTCCACTACTACAACCGCTTTGCAAACCACGAGCAGTCTGCGAAGCTAGACAAGGATCTTTACCTCAAAACTGAGAAGAAGATGCAACAACTTCAGAACTCTTCCGGCATGTCATGGATTGAGGTTCAGTTCTTAGACCAAGCCTCACAAGCATTGCAACAATGCCGTCAGGTACTTAAGTGGACCTATGCATTCGCTTACTATCTTGCGCGAAACAATCTTACGGAAATATTCGAGGACAACCAGAAAGATTTGGAGATGGCTGTTGAAAATCTCAGCGAGATGTTTGAGAAGCCGATTGATCAGTTGAAAGACTTGAAGGTCGATATCCTCGACAAGACTTCGTACTGCACGAAGCGTCGTATCATCCTGCTGAACGATACCGCCGAGAACCTTAAGCTCGGTAAGTGGTATAGACTTGGGAGGTCTTGTGATTGTTACTGGACTGCTGCTAACTGATGTGTAGGCAACTGGAAGTTCAACGTGGACCTAGCGTAGAAGACTTGTATGAATAAGGATAATATCACGCATGACGACATGATGGCCTCTCCCAGCAATCCTTGGCAATAGCCTGTTGAGCCCAAATATATGCAGCATTACTACGTGCATGTGCAAAAGAGCAGAGGGAGAGAAAGAGAGAGAGAGAGAGAGAGAGAGAGAAACAGGAAGCTGCTCATGTCCACACACAGGTCAACCCGAGGAATCGATAGACTGGAAAGACACATGTCTTGGACATGGTGATGTCCCCTACATAGGGATGTATGTTGCATAAATTTACAGTAACTGGGGCGCTTTAAGGCATGGATGGCATCAATTTTATCCAGCATGGCGTTGTTCAATAATATCACGTGGTTCGTCAGCGGTTCAGCGAGCTAGGCTTAGCATTTACGTGTTTTTTTTTCTTCTTATTCTTTGCTTTTCTTTCCCTTCTTGTTGTTCTTGTTCTTCTTTTCTCCTCATTCTACTACACTCTATGTTCAATATGGTTGAATATGAAAAAAAAAACAAAATTCAATTAGATAAATAAGAACTTTACATTGCCTTTTCTACGGACGTGAGGCGAGACAGAGAGAGCCTTTTTGTTGCCGTTAAGTAGGGCGGTAAAATCTTTTTTTTTGTTTTGGACACAAACTTAGTACGCAGAACCACGGCAAAACAGAAAGCATCAAAGGCCGAAGGGACCATTCATTCATTCACACTCGTTACGTTACAATACATGACAACCTTTCCAACCAATCTAAGCTTGAACGCCTTTTTTTTTTTTAAAAAAAAGAAAGAGTGTTGAATGTCTCAAAAAAGATCATGTTACTTCCACTCCTTGTGACGGTTGGATGTAGCAAAGGCAAACACTCGACTTGAACAGGCAGGACTAGAAAAGAGTACTACAAGTCTAATATGATTACTACGTGATAGTTCCTCGAACGCTCTCGTGTTCAACAAGCTCTTTTTTTTTTTTTGCTTTCAGTCTACTTCCTTACTATATCCAATCAACGTGAGGATGAAAAATGCTTGAGAGGATGGGTTGCTAGGCTGAGTTTCCAAGCGGTATACTTGTAGTAGGAGTAATTTGACGAGAGAGAGAGAGAGAGAGAGAGCATGTCCAGATAAGGCAATTTGCTCCATGCATCGCAAGGAATACTTAATCGTAAGCCATGTTTTTTTTCGCTTACAGGTGTTTGAACGGGTACATTCTTGTATAACCAACTGCTAATTATTATAACTACTAGGTGCTTTGGGTTGAGGTATTTTTCATGGAGCCCATTAGCACGAACCAAGATTGCCACTAACCACTACTACTAGTTCCGGAGTAGAGTCACGCGACCTATACACTAACCACAAGGGGGGGGCTAGGAGAGACTTGAAGGCATCATATCATGGACAAATCACGTCAACAAAAAGGGGCAATGCAAACAAGTATTCTTCAATGGAGATGATGAGATTCATGCTAGATATCTTGCTCTATCTCACCTTGCGTTTCGTATCCGAATCCGTGTCCCAAGGTAGCGTACAGCGCGTCAAATTGTGCCTAATGAAATGAGAAACCGTATACCCTATGCCAAAAACCCGACGCCAGATCCTGAATTCATTCCGTACCATATAACAGTAGATCGCATAGGATCCTTGTAATTAAACCATTACCATTTAGTGGCTGGCGACACGCTCCTTGACCTTCTCGAACATGGCCTCCATCTCCTCGGCAATGAAGTCCTCAATCTCGGACTCGAGATGTTGGAGCTTGCTTCCGACCTGGTGAGCGTGGCGGCCAGCCGACTCCTTGGCCTTCTCGAAGTCGGCCTTGAGCTCAGCCATGGAAGGGATGTCCGAGTCAGACTCGTCCTCCTTCTCGGCAGCCTTCTTGACAGTGTAGCCGCCCTTCTCAACAATCTCAGAGTAGTTGGAGGAGCCACCACCGTTCCAGGCGAGGACGTTGGCAGTGTCGCTGGGCACGTCAGAGAGAGCACCGACGGTGGCAATGGCAATCAAGTTAGCCTTGAGCTTCTTGGGTGTAATGTCGGCAACAGCGTAAGCCGAGTCCTTGGTGGGCTGGAGAGACAGCATGTAGGCCAGGAGACCAGCAATGTGAGGAGAAGCCATCGAGGTACCAGAGATGGTGTTGGTGGCGTGCTTGGAGCCAATCCAGGTCGATTGGATGTTGAGACCTGGGGCAAAGATGTCGTTGCACTTTCCGTAGTTGGAGAAGTAGGCACGCTCATCGTTGATGGTTGAGGCGCCGACAGTGAC